GTTTAACTGTTGATGTGTAATGGTGGGATATATACATACAAGGTGACTATATAACTTTCTGAGTAATCATGTATTGAACTAGCACAGTTAACGAATCAGTCTATGAAGCACAATCATTCTTTATTAATCTAGATTTCTTCTTGAATGTATTTAATTCAGGAAGTAGAATTCAGTAACCCAAACCAGTATTTAAATCAGTCACTATATAGCAGTTCCCTTAATTTAAATTGGAACATGCTGGTTACAAGTTTGGATGTTGCATAGAAAGAAATTGAGTTTGGTCATCTGCAAATCATGCAGTTGAACTATGACAGGCCCTCATTCAGTGAACTATCACAGGCCCCAAGAATAAATTGTTGAACAACCTGATGTCATACACGTGTGAAGCATTAGAAAGGAAATAAATTAATTATGTTCATGCATTTTGTCAATACCTAGTAAACTATTACCATCATCTGACTATCTTACAATTTCTGTTAAGAGATAAAGAAAGAAGTTGTTAATTTCTTGAAATTGTGCTGTATTTGGTATAATGAAAGTGTGTAGCCCATGATACCAATTTTTTTTATCAATATAGAGTGATGACATCAATTTAAGTAATCCACTCAGGTAGACATTGTCATGTTACAAACTAAATCATGATTCTTTTTTAAAAAAACTATGTAATTGTAACAATTATTGTTGTTCAACCCCTTCCCAAAGGTTCACAAGGTTACTAACTTGTATACATTGACTTTCAGATTTATGGTACTACAGATTGGTAAGTACCATGGAATATACAGCAATACTATGCAATTTGAAGTCATCTCATTTCAAATCTTAAACTTTCATTACCATTTACATTGTACAACAAAAGGTTTGCTACTAACAAAGGGTACAAATAGAAGTTTAAAAGGTACAACACAGCTATACTAATACAAAATGATAAATTAAAGGGGTCTTTCCATCAGTACATAACTTTACAGGTACAAGAACCTATTGAATTACTACTATGCTAATGCAAACCGTGGAACCCCATTTTCCTAAACAACTTAATGATATATTACAAATGCCGTCAGAATAATCCCAAATGTTATAATAGTAATCATTTGGGAAACGGCTAATAAATTAACAAGCTTCTCGTTCTTCTTGTTAATCGTACATGTAAGGCACGACGGTTCCGCAAACCATTCGAAAAAATGGCAGTCCTCTGAGGTTCGGAAGTTACGACAGCCAAAAAATTGTCTTCCTGGATTCCTTGGCGTGGTGGACGTACGCAAAGCAGCCGGGATACCACAGTAGCACATCTTCACTATCGATGAGGATAGCGATGACGAATGCCTGGAGATCATGCTATCACTGCCCCCTGCTCCAGACCCACAGCCACCCATACTTCCTCAGTAGTCAAAGTTTGGTATGTTTCCAATAATCCTCTCACACTTTTAGACTGCCTTGTGGGTTACTGAAACAGAGACAAAATTTAATACGATTAATAGTTCACATTGTGGTCATATAAGGATAAATAAGATAAGAAATAAAGATATACCCCATAAAGTTACAATACTAATGCTTAAATAAAAGATAAGAGAGCATAAATTGAGATAAAAAAAAGTTTGTTATTGGTCATATATATACCAATTGATTATTCTTATTATTAATAATACTTCCATTATCTATTCTTGTCTCCATTTAGGATTCATCCATTGTCAACCACCTCTGATGTAAGATAAAGATGATATTGATGTTGGTGATTGTCTTTGCATGAAACACCAATTTTATTATACACTGACATATTATCTCAAGCAATATCAACTAATTGAGATGTAGGAAAAGGCAACCATGACTGTAATACCAGCAACAGATTCATAGAGTCAAGGGGACATCCATGGAAAAGCTTGCTTCAGGCAGAGAAATTATCAACCTACTACTTCGTAGCAGCATCCATCTAATCATACACAATCATAATTTAATATTCAACTAGACAACAAATGGGTATGTTGCCCATTTATTCAAGAATAAAGTCTTCAACTACAATGTTCATTATTTTCAGAGAAAAGGAAAATGGACACAACTATAAGGTTTTCTTTCTTTACACAGAGCAGAGAAGTAAAATTGATAATTAACTTGACTTCTCAAATTCAAATATTATTTCACGGAGATGATTAAGCGACTGGTAACTAAATACTTAATGGATTAGTTACCTTGCGGACAACTTTTGCAGCAGCAGCTACCCCTTTGTCAATGAAGTAACCCAAACAAGGCTGCATCAGCAACTCCAACCTGTTTCACATGTCCTGGTCAGTTCATGTTTTAAATAAGAAGTAAGCACTGACAAGTATAAAACTGACTAATTCAAGCATCAAAGAGGGAACAAACCTAGCATTCACATAGCAATTACATCTTCACAGGCTCTAAAATTACTGAGTTTATCCACCCAGCATCCTAAACACATAATTACATATGCGCTTTACAATAAATAATTATAAAATCCCTATTACATACTGTACAATTGGTCTTAAATTAGGCCTCTATTGGGTATACTGAAAAAATAAAAAAACAGAACTCAAGAGGAGGTCCCAAAAAGATAAATTTATCACCAGCCCGTGCAATTCATGATGAACCAAATGGTAGTAATGTTCAGAAGATTGCTCAATCCAGATAAGGAACACCAATAAAACGACAACCTAAGCAACAGTACGACCACATACTATTATTTAACTTAAAATAATTATTCTATATTCCTTATAGGACTTCCAATCTTGTTTGGTATCTAAAATTGAATATTTATATGCCATTTCACACGATCCTCTTACATGGTCCAGTCAATCATAATGTAATCAGTTATCCATTAGGATGATGTTATGGGTGAATAAAATAACTAAGAAGCTAAACATTACCAACTACCTCAAGGGAAGCAACTATCGTATAACAAAATGACAATATTTTGATAAGGAAAATAAATGGTGAACGCAAAATGGTGAACCAAAACCGTACATTTGCAAAGAAGAAGAAGAACCACTTCAAGCAAGAAGAAATCAGAAGACAAGAACAAGGAGTCGAACAACCTTTGTGAAGAAGAAGTACTCAGAGAGGAAGAAGAAGAACAAATGTCGTCATGGAAGTCGAAGCCCTAATATATGCGACATCATAAACAATGCGGACCAACCGCGTCATCTCCAACCTTGGGGTTTTCTCAAATGTCCCAGCGATTGGAACCACAATCGGATCACAGAGGTGAAAATGGAACCACAGAGACGGTGACAAAGTGGGACAGATACAGGGATGCCAAACATAAACAGAGATGTGAAGATGTATATATTGTCGTTGGCTCAATGAACTTGTTGAATAAAAGGTTATTTCAAATAAGGGTTATTTTGTAATTTTTTTAAATTTACCCACCAATATTTTATCTTCAACCAAACACACTTTCAAAAATTATACTCAATTTTCCCGGTAAAATCTTGTCCAACCAAACAACTTTTTTTTAACTTTCCTACCAAACTCACTTTCCAACATCTTTCCTACCAAAGACAACTACCCACTTTAAAAATATTTCTCCCCAACCAAACACCACGCATCGTTCAAGTCTTAAGGAATGCACGAGGTGATTCTTAACATAAGGTCTAGCCCAAAGAATATTGCAAATAGTTGGACCTCAAAAGGTGGGTTTGCAATACACAGAGCCCATTGTGGAAATAAAATAAAATAAAGAAAATAAGAAAAAAAAAAAAGATGGGAAAAAAAAAAAAAAAAAAACTCTATAGTGTCCTGTGGCTTCGGTTTGTTTCAAAAACTCAGGAAAGGGAAGCAAAGTCTCATTCGAGGTGCTGTTCATCAGAAGAGGTAATATTAATATGATAAAAACACTGTCCGATACTCTTTTTTTCAGATTCATCTTTATTATTATTATGAATATGATTTCCTTCCCTGTTATGCTTTTAGTTACGTAAATTAGGAAATGAAATTGAGCCTTTCATTATGGTTTGATTTCATAGCTTAGGGTTTATTAACTGACAAAATTTGGGGGTTTTTTGATTTGCATAATTGGGGGTGAACCGGAAGAGAAGAGAAGAGAAGAGAAGATGGCATTCATAATGGAATTCGCGGAGAACTTGATTTTGAAGATGATGGAAGATCCAAAGGAAAGGGATCGGAAGTTCAGGGAGCACGTTTATAAGGTGAAGGACGGGTGCGCGAAGACGATGGAGATTCATAGGCTTCCTATGAGACCCTATGGGTTCTGGACATTCGAACGCCACAATTCTCAGCTCGCATGGGACCCACAGATTAGCCAAGTTGCTGGCCGCAGGGACCCTTACGATGATCTCCTCCAACATTACTCTCCCCCATCTAAATGAGCTTGGTACCTATTCAAACCCCATATAATTGACAAACATGTTTTTTTAATGACGGATACATATATATGATTACATATACTGTTTCTTTTTATGAACCTCTTTCCAGTTTAGGCTTTTGGATGTTTGATGAGGGTGTTTTATTTTTAGTGAGAATCACAATGCCTCTTTGTTATGCCACTGTATTTTGTACTCATAGAGATATTTTTTTTAATGCAGTGGTGCTGAACTTGTCACAAGTTATTTCAGGTGAAAAAGTGGATCATATTTCCTTTTTTAATCTCCTGTCCTGTTTCATGTTGCAGAGATTATAACTGGTTTGTAATGCTCTATACTGTTATTTCGAATAAAGGTTCCAACTAAAAATGGGTCTTATATCTGTTATTGCTTTTATATGGATTCATCGGCCAACCTCAACTAGTTTGAGGTAAATGTGATCTTGATGTTGTTCATGTTGATATAACTATGGTGCTATGATTTGTTTTTGTTTTTTTTGCCCTTGGGAATTTACATTCTTGCACAATTGCACTTCCTACCTATTTATCTGTTTTACAGTTGTTTCATCTCACTATTGACTTAATCCGTAGATGATTCATTTGTATCGTGTTGTAAGATAACATATTATAGCCTTTTAATGTGTTGGCTATTGTGGATTTGATATAATTCGTGTGTTAGTTTTTCCATAGAACGTAACCTAAGGTTACTGTTTCATAGCAGTTCAGTGCTGTCTAGATTTTATGGCTGCCTTAAGGTTTGTGACACAGGAAGTACTGAGTTATGTTAAGCTTATGATAATGAGAGGGTGGTCACCGCCACCAATATAGTCGTTTGCCTTTTTCAAAATATTGTTTTAGATGAGTGCATAATTCACATCAATTATGAACTCTTCCAGTTGTTGCTAGGTATTTGCCTTGATAACCTTATTTCATTCATTTTCTTTTTGGTCGATAGGATAGGGTTTAGCAATATTCATTCCTTCTTGAAAGAAAATTATTGATTCCAAAAAGAGCCTAAGAGCGCATCATGCTTTGTGAAAGCAACCCTGGATCAATTTTGCACTTAATATTCAGCATGAAATCTGGATGAGGAATAATCTTCAGATAAGTTGTAAGTTTGCTAGTGCTATGCCTGACCTACCCTTTGAGCAGCCATCAATATTTTAGGGAGTAATAATATGACCTTTTTATAATAATATTATTACTCACACTGTCCTTACTTTGTAACAATCGGACTTTACTCTGTCCAAGAATAGTTTCTTTATTTTTAAGCAATATGTTCCTAAATTTTACCTTAGGCTTAACTAGGCTTCCCTTTACGAATTAGCAATAGCTAGCACTCTCTTGTTTATTACGGCCTGGTGTGCGCTTTATACTACTGCACAGTGCAAGTAAAATTAATGGCTTATTTGTACTTTTTAGTCGGCTATTACGGTCAATGTATATGGTTTTATTCTTCCAATAATTTGTTGCAGCAATTAAACACCTCAAATTTTCAATTGAAAAGATCAGGTTTCTCTGTCAGTCTAGTGTCCAATTACTAGTAAAGTTAGTGACATTTTATTGAGTTTTGACGTCTTTTTTTTTTTGGTACCATTGAGACATGCTTATATACATACTTATTTGTCTGAATGACATATAAATGTTTTAAGAGTGAATATTCGTTAGTATATATGTAAGCTATAAATAATTAGTTTTGTACTAGTAAAAAATTGCATTTGTAATGTAATGTTGAATTTCATAGTACTTTAAAATTAGTAGTTAAATTTGGATATACTATTATGTTTAAAACAAAAAGAGCGCTAAATTTTACTCTTTTATGAAGTTATTTGACTCTAATATATAATATTTTTTAAGAAAATAATACTAAAATTACGCTAATGCTGGTTATAGACCTGCTTTAGAAAGTGAGCCTCAAAAGCTAAGTCTTTTTTTAAGAGTGGTAAGGTCGTAGTAGTTAAAATCTCGATTTATCACTATGATTTTATGTTTTTACAAAAAAAAAAATTCATTAAAACAATTTTATCAATATTTCAAATATTTTTACATTTTTATGATTTTTTATTCTCCTTCAAATTTTAAGTAAAATCTCAAATTTAACTACGTTGTGCAAGGTCTTCATATCCTGAGGTTGGCGTGAAGAAAGAAGAGTTTCATGACACTTTAGAGGCTTTCATTGCGGGTAGGGGTGCTAAACGAGCCAGGGGCCTTTGGCTCGACTCGTGAAGGTCTGAGCTTACATGTTTAAAATTGGTTGTTGACACCAGACTTGAACTTATATAAAAACTCGTTTAATAAAAAGGCCTCAGGCTCAAATTCAAAAGTTCGGCCTTAGAACCTCTCAGGCTGGCCTAGTATATTATTATTTTTTATATTTTTTATACTATTTGTAATAACCTCTCTTTCTTCTCAATCCATTTCACCCTATTTTATTGGTTAAACAGACTTTTTGAATAATTTTGTTCTATATTATGCTGTTTGGATATACATTGAATTTATGATATTTATGGAATTACTAGTGTTTTTAATTGTATATTCTATTTAGATAATTTTTTGTTTTTTTTTTTTAAAAAGCTAACAGGCTGAATCAGGCTTTTATTTTTTGTAAATAAGTCAGGTCACAGGCTGGTAATAATATTTATAACAAGTAATAGGCTTGGTCAGACTGACATATTTAAACTCAGGCTTAGCCTTTTAAGACCAAAGATCGGCTCGGCTCGGCCCGTTAACACTCCTAATTGCGGGCCAACAGAGCTCCGAAAATAAAAACCTATGAAGTACTAACACTTTAAAATTTCTGACGTGTCGTGTCCAACACTTTCCGACGCTCACCGACATTCCGACACTCCAATACTCGTTGCAAAGACTCAAAAAAGATTCAAAAGTTACGTTGCGTTACGTTTGAGTTCCAACTATTAGATTCGTTGAATTACAATTACTATTTTATTGAGTTTAATATAAACATTTGGGATATCTAATGTTTCTTTGCAAAATTGATGAGTATTATAAGTTTAGCTTTATTTTTTTGTTAAATTATTGAATATTAAATATAATATGCAATATATAAATTAAAAATATTATATAATATCAAAACGTGTCTTAACGTGTCAAAATTTAATATTTTTTAGAATTAACGTGTCGGAGATATAGATAAGAACAATGCTTTCAAGAAAATGAAGCTCGCCTCTGCAGTGTCCTTTGCATTTACAAAATTGTCATTAATGAAATAAGTTTTGGACACCCGTTCTTCGTAATATCGAGGGAAAGAACAGGTTAAAGAGAATACAAATAAATAAAATATTTTTAATGGAAAAAATTTATATTTTTAAATGACACAACTTATATCCTTTCACCCTCACAAAGAGGTGAAATTCACACCTTTATTTTTTTTTGTCAATTCTCTCTCCTTTTTTATTTATCTCTTTCTCTCTCTTAAAATAACACAACTTTACCTCCTTTGAAATGACACACACTTTTCCCTTTTTTAATTTCAAAGTAAATTACGAAGAATAAATGTATTTTAAGTCATTGTTTCCCGGGAAAATTTCTTTGGTGCTACAGATGCACCGTAAATTCGGTGCATCTTCTACTTATATTATGACACGTGTTTTACTTTTGTCAAATCAATAATAAATAATGTATTTTAAAATCAGGAGAGAGAGTGATTTGATATAAAGTAAGACACGCGTTATAGTATAAGTAAAAGATACACCGAGTTTTCAATGGATCCATAATACCAAAGATATTCTCGCTTCCCTGCGTCCTTGAAATAAATATTGTGCTGACTATTGAGTGATTGCTGCTCCCAAATCTCAAGAATGTGCACCCTCAATCCGCTCTTCAAGACACTGTTTTACGCAACAAAAGGACGAAAAGAGCTTCTTTACTATTTAATGTACCAATGACATAAACAGAGAAAATATTATGTTCCACAAACTGGTCAAGTTACATAGTCGATACCAATTTCTTACATTTCCATTCATACCCCCACGCCCTCTACACACTCTTAATAAACTCACACAGAAAGATTAGTCAGAGGCAGATTTTGTAATGAAATAGCTAATACTCAATCAGAACCAGAATCGAAAGATTTTGATTCCTGTCCAGCGGCTTCTCCCTGTCTAAATGCCTTAGCTATGACTGCTATGTCGTCAATGGGAATCAAAGGCAAATACCCAAAGACATTATATCCCTTTCCAATCATGTTCTTGACCACATGGTTGTACTTTTCCGACCAGTGTGCAACTGTAGGAACTGCCATCTCTGCCACTGCATGGAAAGGTGGATAGTGGTTGAGACCAGCCCACAATTTGACCAACCCAATTAACACAAACTGCTTAGACTCTGTAGCAACATAATGTGCTGCTGCTCGTGCCCCACCAGATTGAGCCTCGCTTACAACTTTCTCCGCTTTCGGTGTCAGTTCCTGAATCAAAAACTTTACTTGGCTTACTACCTGCTTAACGAGAGGAGGAGCATGCTCATCGAATTTGTGGGTAGCTTTATCCACCTGCCACAATCATGTAACAATTAGTATAGCCAAAAATTGCTTAACAAAGTCTCAATTCGCTCAAATATCAACAATGGAATTCCAAGCATACTGAGTATATGGACAACATCAAACGAATCGAGAGGGTTGTTGTAAAGAACCAATTCAACCCAAAAGCTTAAGCTGTTGGGTGAGTTTACATTGATGATTTTATACATTTCAACACGTCCCCCCACACGAGAGGGCTTGTGAACAATGCACAGACCCACCTATCCGTGCAAACAAAGAAATTTCACTTGATAGAAAGTGGAGGCGGCGAGGATCGAACCCGGGACACGAGGCTCTGATACCATGTAAAGAATCAATTCAACCCAAAAGCTTAAGCTGTTAGGTGAGATTACATTAATGATTTTATATATCTCAGTACTTGTCGTCGTATACTCGTAGCCAACAAGATGATTTAAGGTGCTGAATCTAACACAAAAACAAATAAATAAATAAATAAAAATCAAACTGCATGTCAAGTCTCGAGGCAACAAAAAGTGGAATAATGAAAAACAGCAGAGTCTGTTTCTTCATTTGACAGTCAACTTACTGTGGTAAATGGATTTTGATCTTATCTTTGTCCAAAGTGAATGATAGTAACATGTTCTGAGATGAGTGTGAAAAAACAAAATCACTACTGTGAATGCATGCAGAGATAATGGGTAGCTGTATATAGAAAAGAGAGAAAAAAGAAAGTTCGTGTATTTCGGTCTCATGTTCCTATAAAGGAGGGTATTGTTGGCCGATTTTGGAGGGAGTTTTCACCAATACAACTTCATTGGCATCGAAACAAATAGATCTTGATCTGAATCAACGCACAAGGATTGTCATAAATAGCATGAAGATAAATCATCTTTACAAACAGAGCTTAAATTATTATTAATAAGCTTTTCCTGATTTGGTCGAAGGGGTTCGACAAGAAATATTTACAAACCAAACAAACAAACAAAAAAAAAAAGGTTTTTTTATTCAACAAAGGAGGAAGGAAGTGATGAAAAAAAATAGACAGATGAGAAAGAAAAACCTTATTGTCCACGAAAACAAGAAGATGGTCAGGGACACCCTTGATTTTATCGTAGACAGGACCAAGAACGGTGGTCACAGTGCTTTCTACAGTTCCAACAGCAGATCTCAAAGGTCCTGAGTTCTGCTTTGCGAACCCATAGAGACTCGACACACAAATAAAAGCTTGAATCGCAGCAATCTTCACAAACCCAAGATGCTTCAGTTCTTGAAGAAGAATCTTGCTCGCAACCTCTTTCTGCAAAAACAACATTCACAAATTGACCGTGACCGTAACATCTCTACAAAATTTAGAAAAACATAGAAGATGAAAAAAGCAGAACCCGAATATCACAAACCTCGCTGGTGGCCATTGTTTTTCTGAGTGTTGGAACTTGCTATAAGCAGGGTGTCACAGTTGAAAGTTAATGTATATAGAGATGGAAATGGGAATCAAATCCAATGAATCAAATGCAAATTTATTATCTTTACCTAGAAATATCAAGAGAGAACATATCTGCAGCTATATTATATTTTGGCGTTGATTTCTATACCAATATATATCATATAACATTATGGCCGATGTCAGATTTATTTCTGTCCTGACTCTCATATCCAGGTTTTTTTACTGAAACATAATTTTTATTATTTTCTAAACGAAAAAATCGATGAACTTATTTAGTTAAAATGAGTTTTTTTTAGTGAAAAGTATACGTGATTTAAAATGATATAAAGTTTGTGCTTTTAGTATTTTTACTCTATATTTTTTCGATAATACATAGTTATAACATTAAAAGTTATTTTTTTTTCTCTTCTCAGTCATATCAGTTGACATGAAAAAAGAAAAAAAAAAGTTTTCATATTATAATTATGTACTACCGGAATACATAGAATAAAAAATTAAAAGGACACAATTTACGTCCTTTAAAAGAACACACATTAACGTGTAACTTTATTTTGAAGCTTGTTTAAAAATTTATTTTATAAATTAAGCCTTAGCCTTTATAATAATCAGCAATTTAAATACTATATTTCAATGATAAAAATATTATATTTCAATGACAATAGATATTATTATCATTATTATTTAAATAAACAATTTAATTTAGCCTTAAAAGTCAAAAGACAATTTGAATGGCCTGAAACTTATACTTGATCCAAAATATACTAAAGAAAAACTGTGTAACTTAATAAATATAATAGTTATTGTGGGTTAGGCTGCACAAATTGTGTGGCTTATTTCCACCAAAACCTTTACAACAATGGGATTATAGTTAAAATGTAAAATTTTCATTATAAAATTTTTATGATTTTTTTCATTAACATATTTTTATCAATATTTCAAGCACTTTTATGATTTTTTTATGTTATAATTTTATATTTTATGATTTCTTATCTCCCTTCTAATTTTATATAAATTCTCATTTTTAACTACCTTCGTAACAGTGGCGGCAATTTGTGTTTCCTAATAAGGTACTAAAGTTCTCTTGGATACAAATTCTGAAATTTGTGCATGTGTTCGGCTATTTATGCTAGTCCTCGGGAGGGGGAGAGACATGTTTATGTGAGATGATTTACTGCAAGTTAGTGCTAATTTGAATGGTCCTTGGGTCTTGGCTGGTGACTTCAATGATATTAAAAGTATAAATGAGAAGAAGGGTGGTGCTAGGCCTGACCTGGAAAAATGTCGTAGATTTGCTAATTTTTTGGAGAGTTGCCAGGTGGATGATGTAAAATGCACAGGATCAAATTACACGTGGTAGGGGCCAAAATGGATTTATCTTGATAGAGTGTATAAAAAATTAGACAGGATTGTTGCAAACCTTCCATGGATTTCTTCTTTTGAGGAGGCTGAAGTGTGTATTCTTCCAAGATTGGAGTCAGATAATAATCCACTACTTTTGAGGCTGAAGCCTAGTAGTAATCACTAGCATGATAGACCTTTTAGGTTTTTAGCCTCTTGGAAGGAGCACCCCAGCTTTGGAGATCTTATAAATAATAGGTGGGATAAGGAGAGAGAAGTTAATATAATGCTTAAGAAATTTGTTCCTGATATGATTCGTTGGAATAAGGAAGTTTTTTGAGATATTTTTCGTACGAAGTCATCCCTCTCTCATCAGCTTGCTGAAATTCAAGCTCCCAGGATTTTGTTGGATAACATGGAATTGCAGCAAATAGAAGAAAACACACACAAGAGTTTAAATGAAACGTTGCTGCAGGAAGAAATGATTTGATTTCAGAAGTCCAGGTATAGATGGATTGTGTATGGAGATAAAAACACAAGGTTTTATCACTTGAAAACAATAACTCGTTGAAGTTTCAATAGGATTTCCAGGCTTCGCAATGAGGTAAAGAATTGGGTTGAGGATCCGATTGAACTAAAGAATTTGGTGTGCAGTTTTTACAAAAATCTTTTCCAAGAGAAGGTGCCAAATCATAAATGGCTTTCTTCTGCGAATCTGTGGCCGATAATTTCCCAAGAAGAATGCATGGAGATGATAAGAGTACCAAGTAATCAAGAAATTTCTAATATTATGATATCTATGGTGTAAGAACCCGCACCGTTAATTTAGGAAATTAATTAAATAAATATGAGAATTAGGAAATAATTCCATATTTGACCCTAATAATTATGAGAAGGCTTAAATAATTATAGTAAGTGATTAAGAATGCTGAAAGTCGCTTTTCTGACGAAGAGTGCAGATACCGGTTCTGCTCCTCGGTATAAATGTGTACCGATGAAGTTTCCCGAAAAATTACGAAAAGTATGTATATGTCACTAAAAAAATATATAGGACTGGCATAACAAGTTTCAAGTCAAAATAATGAGAACTGGTGACAGAACTGATACTGGCTATGAAAAAGCGCGTACCGGAAAGGTGCTGCGAAAAATAAAATAAAAATATGATAAATCTTAGAAAAATGAATAAGTTCATAATCCTATGTTTGGGATTAAAATGTTAAGCGTAGCAATTAGCGCTAATACAGTGCGATTAAGTTTAAACCGATTATAAATAGCCTTGGCACATGATCCTAGGTCAGTAAGGGTACTGTTCATACAGAATGACATTTTGGGTATGTGGACCCATGTTTGGTCAATGTGGACTTCTGTAATAATTAAACTTAGTCAGAATCAAAAGGATTAAGGGCTTGAGGCTTTGTGAGAAGCCTGAAGACATGAAACGTAAAGGAAATGCGTTGTCTTTATGTCTTATGCTTGTAGAGTATAAAAATTGATATGATTGTTGGTCTAAAACAGATTGTGATCTTGTTGTTTGTGGACTTTGAACTTGTGTGGACTCTTGGCTTGGGTAGTTAGCTTGATAGGTAAGCTTTCGTATCCTCAGTTTAGCCATTGTTGGTTCCACCATATCCCATAAGGGGATGATTTATATGCATGATGTGTTTTCATGTATTGTTTTATTGAAATGCTTTTGAGTTGTTAAGTGCAAATGCCTTATGATATGTATGTGGTGTTCGCCTAGACGGGATGTGATCTTGTGGGCAGGTACGACATGAGCGCGTACTGTGTGGGTAATAGACGTATTCATACATCTCTCTGGCCAATAGATTAGTTATAACACATATGACATGATTATCTGTTGCATTGCACTGGTTTTGGAACTTATACTGTTAAACTGCTTTTGGAACTTATATTGCACATGTAAATGAACTTGGGGTGGAAGATCCTTGAGGACCCCTTGTCTTACTGAGATTTATGTTTAGAGATCTCACCCCACGTTTGGGGCACCATTTTCAGGTTCAGGTAACTCGGGGGTTGAGACCTGGGGCGACAGGAGGTCAGAGCTTAGTTGATTGATCTTTATCTGCTTATGTTGATTATGCTTGGATGCTGGATTAAGTCTGTTGCTATTATGTGTTTAGCTTCATCTTATGGATTATTGTGTGGAGACTCTGCTGGCTATGTTGTCTTATTTGGTGAGCATATGGATTGTCCATGCCACATTGACTTGACTATATGCTTTTAGATTCGAGTTGTATAATTGTACTAGGATTATGTCCGGTCTACGTGTTGTAGTTTCGTGACTTAGATACTCATAGATATTTATGTATTGAGGTAATTCAGTTAGCTGTCTATTTGCAATTTACATACATGCAATGTTTTGGAAACGAATTAAGTAATTCAACTTGGTAATGATAATGATGTCATAATTGAAAAGAAAAAGATATTTCGCATTTTTAATTACGTGTGGCTTAATACGATGACAGGTTAACAAATCGGGTATACACTGGGTGTTACATATGGGGTTATTTAAAGCCCCATGAGAGGATGGTTTTCCTGTTGGTTTTTTCAACGTTAGTGGAGCTATGTGAGGGATCAAGTTTGTGGTTTAATTAGACAGATTTGGTCCAATCCAAAGCAAGTTTATGAGGTTAACTCAACCCTCTTGGTTCTAATTCCAAAAATAAAGAATCCAGAGTTTATCTCGCAGTTTAGGCCCATCTCGTTTTGTTCAGTGTTGTATAAGTGACTTTCAAAGGCATTAGTGCAGAAGTTGAAACCAATAATGGAGAAAATTATCTCCTCGTTCTAAGTAAGCTTTGTCCCAAATAGACAAATTCAGGATAATATTATAATTGTGCAAGAGTTAATTCATTCTATGCATAAAATGAGGGATAGGAACGCTTTCATGGCAATAAATATTGATTTAATGAAGGCATATGATAGACTTAGTTGGAGTTTTCTGCAGAGCTCGTTGGAGAAAATTAGACTCCCGCAACATCTGCTAGAGCTTATCACGAACTGCGTTGAGAGCACAAATATAAATGTTCTCTGGAATGGGGGTAGGATAGAAGCATTTAGGCTTACGAGAGGTATTAGACAAGGTGATCCACTGTCACCTTATCTTTTTGTTATTGCAATGGAAAAATTGTCACACATTATAGCTACTGCAACTAGTGGTGGTTTATGGAAGCCAATTTGGGTGGGTGTTAAGGGCCCTCAAATTTCTCATCTAGTCTTTGCAGATGATCTCATGATTTTCATGGAAGGTAGTGAGGAGCAGTTGGAGGTATTAATGAAGTGCTTATGTTTGTTTGAAGAAATTTTTGGAAAAAAACTTAGTGTAGATAAAACAACTATTTTCTTTTTCAGAAGTACAAGTGATGTGGTGACTGATAGGATATCTCAATGCGGTGGTTTTAGAAGAGTTAAAAATATGGGTCGTTATTTGGGGTCTAGGATGCAACATGGGAGAGCAACTAGAGACTTGTATGAGAGTATTGGGGACAAAGTAAGGTCTAAACTTAATTCTTAGCAGCAACAATGTCTATCACAGGCAGGTCGTATCACTTTGGCTCAATTGGTAATGACAGCAATTCCATTTTTTCAAATGCAAAGCTGTAAAATTCCTCAAGCAATTTGTTTAGAAATTGAAAATATCCATAGAGGCTTCA